ACGTCAACACACTCTAATATGCGTAAAGTCTTCGATCTTGGTGGTCCAAATTTTGGCAAATCAGCGACAAGTTACAGAATTTTTTTTCCATTTTGGACTCCAAAACGAAAAAAAAAATGTCGTAACTTCGCTGAATCGGCGATACGGAATCTCGAACTTCGAATGATTTGAGTTTTACGCACTATGAGAATTCTGATGTGTATCGTCGTAATCAACCACCAACTGTTACCGAATCAGGAAGAGCGAGGAATAAGAGTCTTCAGCGCGCTATCCAAAATCTGTAGTCCAATATATATGTCTGCCTGTTTCGGGCAGTATTGGGAAAATACGCATGGTTTGCTACATGTGCCAGTGGCAACATCAACAAGATGATGAAATTTTAGGAGATTTTTATCAAATCCTCCTAAATTCTGAGGAAATTTCAGAAAATTTTCATCAAATCCTCCTAAATTCTGAGGAAATTTTAGGAAATTCTCATTAAATTCTCCTAAATTCTGTGAAAAATTCGCGCAGTATAGTGAGGAATCTGCTCACCTCAGCTGAAGGAAGCGAATATATATTCCAACACTGGTTTCGGCTGCGATCAAACGAAACGACTCGCTTTATGCCTCTTTCACTCTTATAAACCTAGAGAACAGCTCTCATTCGAGCATATAGCGAGCTCATCGGTGAGAGTGGCAGATTAAAAATGTATGGCAGATCGTCAGCACACCGTCCTTCCTGGTAAGGAAAAATCCAACATCGCCTCGTGCTGTTGTAACCGTTAACGACTTTGGACGAACTTGAATGTTTGACGACGAAGTTGCAAGTTCTAATTGTGAATATGATCTTCCCATTTCGGATTCGTACCTCCAACTTCGCGCGTCCCGACGAAATTGATGGTTCCAGAAACGAACTAGATGTTTAAAAGGTGTTGATACGGTGAGCACATGATTATGACGCGATTCAGCAGTGCTGTGAATGGACTCAGGGTTCGCTTTATTCTAAGAATCATTGCGTGCTAACTACTCGGCCTTGCATTCTATCGAGATCACTGCCGTTGAACTCAATATGTAGGGAAGAGAATTGAAGCGGGTGGGTAACCACGCGTCAATTCAGAACAATGCTCATGCACTAGGACTCGCACTATTCACTACACTAATGAAATAGATATCTTCAGGGAGCTGACAGTTACATCACCATCTTAGAAACTGCCATAGGATGATCTGTAGAGGCTGCGTTCGCCCATCATAACAACTTGACTCCGGATAACAATTCGTGTTTCTGGCTCACCTGCCGGGTTTCTGGTATGCCTTTCTCCGCTTTTGCCTGTTGTTTGATTGGGTATGCGTATACTTCGTCGTTCATA